TGCGCAGGCACTTGCGGAGGCGGTCTCACCGGCTGCTGGACAGGGACCTGCTGCGGGGGAACTCCCGGTGCTTGTAGCGGCTGAGCAGGCATCGGCGGGGCGGGAAATCCCGGTGCAGGAGCAACTTGTAACTGCGCGGCGTGTGCGTCCAGGAAATTGGCCATTCTAACGTCCAACATTCCCGGCAGGCCTTCCATCACATCCTGGAATGCCCGCATTAAGTCTCTCACCGAGTCTTCCAGTTCTGCTAGACGTTCCCCGGTAGTTTCCTCCGGGATGGGGTCCCGAGGGCGGTAGTCCGGGGGTGGGTCATAGTCCTCTTCCGTTTGGAAGGCTCCGGTGCCCTCCTCATCTTCTGCGTGACCACTCGGTCCCGACGGCTCGAACATCCACTCCTCGAGGTCCTGTTTGGGGCTCCCCTTCTCCGAGGTAGACCCAGGTTCCGGGAACAATCCCTTGTCAAACAGACTCTCACGTAATCCGCTCCCCCGACGGGAGTACACCTCACGGGTGCCTTGGGTGTTGTACATAGTCCAATCATCCTGCTGGTGAGTCTTCCGCGGACCCCATTGCGAAGGGGTCGGAGGCGGCCAAGACAGATGTGCAGGCAGGCGGGGAATCGTTCCCCCCACGGCACCCTCCATCGAGGCTGCAGTCGTGAACACCAAAGACGCGGAGGTTTGTGGGACCGATCCCGAGTCCCCCTCCGTGTTAGGTAGGTTTCCCTCAATTCCGCTCATGATCTTGCCAGATTCGGAACGATAGGAGAAAGGGAGTTCTAACAATATGTTGGATCCCCAAGCATCGAGAATAAATCCACGTTTTCAAGAAAAGCAAAATTTATTTCAAAGCGTTGAAGACATACTCAAACACGTTCTTTGTTAGAACTGGGGATACACAGTTAGGTCAAGCATAATAAAGGAACTTCAAATAGATACAGATCCAATGAATTGCTTTCCCGCTGGCGGGCTAATGAAACGGTTGCGCGCCCAGTACGTGGGAACCAGGCAGGGCATCAGACAAAACACAGGTGGCAGTACTCATGGGAAAATCAATAGGCAAGCATTACAGCATCTTCTCCCCCACACAACCTCCAGCAGTTATCTTACGCAGAGGTCACAGAAAACAGAATGGCAGCTTGCTGACACCAACATAAACCAAACCAGGGACCTACAGTACCTGGATCACAGTGGGGTTTCAGTTGCACATTCAGTTGTACGTATGGTGAATGTAACATAAGAATTACTCAATGCACATATAAATAAAAATCAAGTGTACACATGCATCCAGTGTAACCTTTGAACAGGACTCCTGTTACAACAAAATGCAACACTTTTAATATGTATTTTATGTATTGGCTTACGCCCTATTTGTGAGCCGCCCTGAGCCCGCTCGCGGGGAGGGCGGGCTATAAATTAAAATAATAAATAAATAAATAATAAAAATGAAACACAAATCCTAATTGTACAAATAGATTTGAACTGGTTTTTGGTTGAACCAGCAGACTTTGATCATAGAACATATAGCAGTTGATAACTACACAAATACTAAACAGGTAAAACCTTTCACAGATGAATATCTATGAAATCAGCTTTCTATATAAATTGCTCAAATTATCAACATGAACACAGAACAAGTTTGTTTGCAATGGACATGCATTATCTTTTTCCTACCATCTTCCATCACAAGCAGTCCTAAAAATCAACTTTATGTTGATCTTGGAACCTTAAAGTTGTCAACACTGTTATAGGTGGGAAGAATCTATAGAACTGATACAGGTAAACTCATTTGTGCATTGGATTATCTGATAAATGCAGATTAAAAAAACCTCAATCAATCAAAATATCTTTTGTACTCAGAAATGTCTTTGGAATTTTATAAAGAATTCTATGGTATTTTCAGAAAATTATTCATGCTGAATAGGAAAAATCCCCCCCCTTTAGTGCTATATTGGAACTAGCCACAGTCCAGAGACAAATGCTATTCTTGCATTCTTGTTCAGCACTTTAAAAATAAAATAGGAAGATGTTAATTCCAGCAGCAGAGAGGAGACACACATGGAACAGAAAGAAGCTTGTAAAATTGCAGAACATAGCTGGGGGGGGGGGGGGGGTTGGGTGTTCACTGCTGTTTTAAAAAGTGCTGGTAAGTGGTTTTTAAAGCTTTTACAAAAAATTTAAAAGTTTCATGGAAATCAGTAAAGGGGTCATTGGGATCATTCACACACTATTTACTAAAAGCACTTGACATTTATACCAGTCTGAAAGTCTGAATAGCAATGGTCATGGTACTAGATAGGGGAAGAAGAATCACATTTTCCCAAGTGCAAAAGATTTGGGTCCAAACATTAGGGAAATGCAAGCAAGCACAAATGCATCCAGAAACACTCCACACAGAAACGATGTTTGATTCCCACACAGCAAGTGAATAACAACCGCTCAATTCACTGTGCAGACCAAAGATTTCAGAAATGCCCCATCTCAGGACCACACTCAACATGAGGGCCTGAGCTTAGAGAATAGGATAAGTACATACCCCCACCCCCACCCCGCACTCCCAGGGCGCTTACCTCCTTGCAGTCCCTCTCCCCAAGCATTTTTCTTTCAGCCAGGGGTCATTTCAGATTTTGTACTCCTGGCTAGAAGAAAAGTACCAGGAGAACAGGGCTGCAGCTATTCAGCTCATCAGCTCCTACGGGAGAAAAACCGCACAGCACAGGTGCCCTTTCCTCTCCTACTGCGCGCGTCTGTGGGGGGGGGGGGGGGGCTTTGGAGATTCCAGAGTAAAGTGAACTTAAAGTCCTGATCGTTTAATGGTCGAACGGGGTTCTGCAGACTTAGCAGGTCTAGTTACTCCCCCTCCCTAAATGCGGTCTCGCACAAAAAAGGGCTGTGGAGGCTGCCGTCGTCCCTCCGCAGACAGGACCTTGCATTTGGTCCCAGCGAGGCGGGAGCCGCCACCCCTTCAAAGAAGAAAACCGTCTGACGCACGCGAGTCTACAGGGCTGGTTTCTATGGAGACGGCCGCGCCGTCAAAACCCAGTATTCATCCCGGCACCACCTCCCTCCCTGCCGCCTGACTCCTCGCACCGCGTCAGCTTAGCCTCCCCTTCTTCCTCGATCCCTCGGGGGACTAAGTTGTCGCTCGGCGTGCGAGGGCCACGGGCGAACAAGAAACTTCTCCAGGGACGCCACCACAGACGGCCGATGGGTTGCTGTGGAGACAGAAGGTTGTCAGACTTATCCTCCAATCAAATACCTCCGTTTACACCGCACACTGTGGGAGGGGGAGCCAATGGAGCACACTTGTGGCTTACGGAAAGATCCAGGAAACGCGCCGAATGAGAGTTAGTTTGCGCCTGCGCCGGCTGCGTACTTTCAGTCTTGGTCGCGGCCGTGTAGGAAATTGGGGGCAGTCGTTTTTCACAGGGAAGGCAAAGGAATTCGCGGAACGTCAGCATATCATGTTTATGGTTATTTTATGAAGCTTGGAGTTTTTTTAAAGTAGTTTTAGCATTCGTTTTGCTTATGGTATTGCTTATAAAATTAATTTTACTGGGTTGCTGTTAAATTACTTATGTACCGTTTCTGGCTGTGGGCTCAGCGGT